CATTCTGATGTCAAAGAAACGGGAAGAAAGCGACAAAACGCTGGAAAATATTGCGAATGAAAAACGTCTATTTCTATGCTGTACGTGCGGTGAAGTATATACCAGCCGAGACAAAATCACTGATCACTGATCATTTGTGTATTTATTTATTTTATTTTATTTTTTTTATTTTTCCACCGTTCTCCACCTTCTCGCGGAACGTCGACCGTCGTATCGTCGCGCCGATTCCGCCAGTAGCGAGACGCCGACCCTACCCAGTGTCGCGTCAGTTGTTTTGGTAACAACCAAAGTGGAAAAACATCTGCATACAGTGATCAATAATTCGCAACTATTCGTTAATTCATGGATATATTCAACTCTACTTCTATGCAATTTGGTGATTTTAAAACTAACACAGAATCTATAGTATTCAGAGAACTAGTGTTACACACTACAAATTACGGATGAATAGCGTTTTTTTTTCATTAATGGAAATTATTTGAAACTTGTAGAAACAATTTAGTTTACACAGAGTAAAATATTTTCATATTTTTTACTGTATAATATTAATATAGAAAAATAATAAAAACTAGTTTTATGACATTTTAAAATGAAACCGATTTTTTACAAAATAAACATTGTACAATAGATTAATCTAAAGTAACTCTAAAAGTCTGAAATATGATATCTCGTTTTCGCTTTAGACTCTTTATAAACTTGCTTTTTTTGGATTATTGTTAATTTCACTAGTATTGTTATTTGGTTAAAATGTATGTACATCTCAATCAGTTTAACTCTTTCTCCCCATTATTTCAACAACGTTTAATACGGTTAAACTGTCTTATAGTTTATATTTCTATTTTAACGGCCTAGTGTGTGTGAATTAGATTTTTTTTTTTTGGCTAAATTTGTCTTCTGACCTATAGACCACCTAGTGAATAGAACACCATCAAGATATTAAGATATAAAGATATTAGCATGAGTCGATGAATTTAATATTTTATAGTGTATATACATAAATGATTGCATAACATAATATTTTGATAGTAACTAGTAAATTAACATGGATGGTAGTTTTTTGTGTGAATGCAAAATGAAACAAATTTTGACTGGTTTTTGGAAACGTATAAAGCGTATCATATTTCCAAGTTACACGTAAACATTTTTTGGGCCTTTTTATTTTTTGTGGGGGAACGGGCGAATTTTCTATTTTATCACTCTTATGGTGGATTCTTGGAGACCGAGGGAAATCTCAATCTCCCTCGTATCATTTTACCTGTCCGGACCAAACTGAACTGTTTTTTTATTTTTATTTAACAGAAAGAACAACATGGAGAACATTGACGTAGCCGAAACGAGGAATGTTAAAATTGAAGTGGATGTGATAGACGATAATGTTTACTTTGAGAGCCTAATAGAGATAGTAAATCACGAAAATGTGCTGGACGTACAACCGACGGAAAACATTGTGAAGAAAGAACTTACACACAGCTGCCAGAATTGTCAAATGTCATTTGCTACTCCAACAAAATTAAGGATTCATATGACAGAATCTCACATTAACGTTGAACGTACAAATATTGAAGAAAACACCGATAGGTAAGATCATTTTTTTGAGTAAAACTCTTTATTGATATTCACACATCACCGAACATGTCTTAGTCTATTAAGTTTATAGCAGTTGTTGGCTAACAGAAGCAAATATTAAACAATAAGATATTACCCTACAGTTGGATGGTTTTCATATTGTGTATGTCTGAAACAGATTAAGGTGTCTACTAGGTTTAAAATTCTTCCCCATTTTAAACTAAACATCATATTTAATAAATAATTTTAGTAATTTTGATAGTATGACCTTTTTACAAATTTTGTGTTCAAATTTGACAGCAGTAGAATTTATATTCAATTTATTTAATTATATTTAAGACATTGATAAGTATGCATGTTAAGTAGACAGATCAGGTTATCTGTCTTTTAGAGTACTGTAGCAATATCTTGACTAATCGTTATAACTGCAATACATATTAAACAATAGGTATCAACTAAGTTGTATGAAAAACTGTTTTTTTTTTTTAAATTACATATGAGGATATAATGGACTGCTAAACATTTTGAAAAGTTAGAAAACACTTTCAAACAAATATATACCCTGTATACATATATTTATACAGGGTGACATTTTTAAAGTGATCCTCAATATCTCATAGGGTTTAATATCAGTTATAGAATTTTTATTATGTAGTTTTTTATACAAAGTTATCTCAACTTTTGACGAATTAGTTATATTTATATCAACTTTTGAATCTTAATTGGTAGCGAAAATATTTTATTGACTTTTTAAATTAAGAATAAAATACTGACAAATTTGGCTGGTCGATAACTAGTTTTGGATACATATTCTTAAAGTTATTTATGTTTCTAGTTTAGGATGAGAGGAAAATGTGGTGAGTAGTAATATTTTTTATCTGCTTGTATTACTTAACCGCACTTCCTCTCCCGCCCTTACTTTTAGACTTTAGGTAATAGGTACTTTAAAAAAATATATCACACTTTGTATGCACGGATTTGAGTTAGGAATATATTAACATAAAACCTAACTACAGTTTATTTAAACAAAATAGGTATGCTTAACGAGCAATAAAATGTTTTCGCTTTCTTTAATTCGTAATACTGCTGGAAAAATATAAATTGTTCTGTTTTTCAAGTAAACTGGAGATTTATTTATGAAATTGTTGTATTGTTTCACCGTTCTACATATATTGTCGATGTAAATTACTTAAAATTAGGCTAATTCGGTATTTTTCAAATAAAATGTATAACCTTGTTTAAGATTCTGTCAAAAATTCAACTGATTATAATATGGGGTTTTCTTTTTAGAACAAGCTCTATTTTACCGGTAGAAAATATAATAAAAGAAGGAGAAAAGAAAATGAAGAAGAAGGATATATATTGTTGGAAATAGGACCAATGAAAATTCCTGAGGAGACAACATGTCTGAACACACGTACATACACTTGCAACAACTGTCATAAGCCATTCACTACTAAAAAACAAATTGCCTGTCACTTAAAAAAATGTCCCACCGTGGATGTCCAAACCAGGCCTCGTGTACATTTAAAAAAGTAAGTAGATTTTTTTAGTAAAACCGATGTTTGTTAAAATAATGTTTGATTGATTTTTAAAAGGTGTTGAGGGTTGATTACAAATAGAAAATATTATCCTTTTATACTTAGTTTTGTTTTTCGAATGGACGGGATGATTAGGCAATGAGGAATAGTATAAAGACAGCGTGAGGAATGAGTATGAAAGAAAAAATTGAATAAACAAATGGGGCCAACAATTTGTGAGGGCAGAGGAAAGTTGTCTGACCGAAACTCATTTGCAAGATGCAAAAGAATACCTTATTTTTTTATTTTTTTTTTTTATAAGTTAACCGATAGTAATAATACTAATTTTTTTTTTAGAATAAGCGAAATTCTACGGGATGAAGAAAAAAATGACATTCTGATGTCAAAGAAACGGGAAGAAAGCGACAAAACGCTGGAAAATATTGCGAATGAAAAACGTCTATTTCTATGCTGTACGTGCGGTGAAGTATATACCAGCCGAGACAAAATCACTGATCACTGATCATTTGTGTATTTATTTATTTTATTTTATTTTTTTTATTTTTCCACCGTTCTCCACCTTCTCGCGGAACGTCGACCGTCGTATCGTCGCGCCGATTCCGCCCAGTAGCGAGACGCCGACCCTACCCAGTGTCGCGTCAGTTGTTTTGGTAACAACCAAAGTGGAAAAACATCTGCATACAGTGATCATAATTCGCAACTATTCGTTAATTCATGGATATATTCAACTCTACTTCTATGCAATTTGGTGATTTTAAAACTAACACAGAATCTATAGTATTCAGAGAACTAGTGTTACACACTACAAATTACGGATGAATAGCGTTTTTTTTTCATTAATGGAAATTATTTGAAACTTGTAGAAACAATTTAGTTTACACAGAGTAAAATATTTTCATATTTTTTACTGTATAATATTAATATAGAAAAATAATAAAAACTAGTTTTATGACATTTTAAAATGAAACCGATTTTTTACAAAATAAACATTGTACAATAGATTAATCTAAAGTAACTCTAAAAGTCTGAAATATGATATCTCGTTTTCGCTTTAGACTCTTTATAAACTTGCTTTTTTTGGATTATTGTTAATTTCACTAGTATTGTTATTTGGTTAAAATGTATGTACATCTCAATCAGTTTAACTCTTTCTCCATTATTTCAACAACGTTTAATACGGTTAAACTGTCTTATAGTTTATATTTCTATTTTAACGGCCTAGTGTGTGTGAATTAGATTTTTTTTTTTTGGCTAAATTTGTCTTCTGACCTATAGACCACCTAGTGAATAGAACACCATCAAGATATTAAGATATAAAGATATTAGCATGAGTCGATGAATTTAATATTTTATAGTGTATATACATAAATGATTGCATAACATAATATTTTGATAGTAACTAGTAAATTAACATGGATGGTAGTTTTTTGTGTGAATGCAAAATGAAACAAATTTTGACTGGTTTTTGGAAACGTATAAAGCGTATCATATTTCCAAGTTACACGTAAACATTTTTTGGGCCTTTTTATTATTTTGTGGGGGAACGGGCGAATTTTCTATTTTATCACTCTTATGGTGGATTCTTGGAGACCGAGGGAAATCTCAATCTCCCTCGTATCATATTTTACCTGTCCGGACCAAACTGAACTGTTTTTTTATTTTATTTAACAGAAAGAACAACATGGAGAACATTGACGTAGCCGAAACGAGGAATGTTAAAATTGAAGTGGATGTGATAGACGATAATGTTTACTTTGAGAGCCTAATAGAGATAGTAAATCACGAAAATGTGCTGGACGTACAACCGACGGAAAACATTGTGAAGAAAGAACTTACACACAGCTGCAGAATTGTCAAATGTCATTTGCTACTCCAACAAAATTAAGGATTCATATGACAGAATCTCACATTAACGTTGAACGTACAAATATTGAAGAAAACACCGATAGGTAAGATCATTTTTTGAGTAAAACTCTTTATTGATATTCACACATCACCGAACATGTCTTAGTCTATTAAGTTTATAGCAGTTGTTGGCTAACAGAAGCAAATATTAAACAATAAGATATTACCCTACAGTTGGATGGTTTTCATATTGTGTATGTCTGAAACAGATTAAGGTGTCTACTAGGTTTAAAATTCTTCCCCCCATTTTAAACTAAACATAAATATTTAATAAGTAATTTTAGATAGTATGACCTTTTTACAAATTTTGTGTTCAAATTTGACAGCAGTAGAATTTATATTCAATTTATTTAATTATATTTAAGACATTGATAAGTATGCATGTTAAGTAGACAGATCAGGTTATCTGTCTTTTAGAGTACTGTAGCAATATCTTGACTAATCGTTATAACTGCAATACATATTAAACAATAGGTATCAACTAAGTTGTATGAAAAACTGTTTTTTTTTTAAATTATATATGAGGATATAATGGACTGCTAAACATTTTGAAAAGTTAGAAAACACTTTCAAACAAATATATATACCCTGTATACATATATTTATACAGGGTGACATTTTTAAAGTGATCCTCATCCCACTCAATATCTCATAGGGTTTAATATCAGTTATAGAATTTTTATTATGTAGTGTTTTTATACAAAGTTATCTCAACTTTTGACGAATTAGTTATATTTATATCAACTTTTGAATCTTAATTGGTAGCGAAAATATTTTATTGACTTTTTAAATTAAGAATAAAATACTGACAAATTTGGCTGGTCGATAACTAGTTTTGGATACATATTCTTAAAGTTATTTATGTTTCTAGTTTAGGATGAGAGGAAAATGTGGTGAGTAGTAATATTTTTTATCTGCTTGTATTACTTAACCGCACTTCCTCTCCCGCCCTTACTTTTAGACTTTAGGTAATAGGTACTTAAAAAAAAATATCACACTTTGTATGCACGGATTTGAGTTAGGAATATATTAACATAAAACCTAACTACAGTTTATTTAAACAAAATAGGTATGCTTAACGAGCAATAAATGTTTTCGCTTTCTTTAATTCGTAATACTGCTGGAAAAATATAAATTGTTCTGTTTTTCAAGTAAACTGGAGATTTATTTATGAAATTGTTGTATTGTTTCACCGTTCTACATATATTGTCGATGTAAATTACTTAAAATTAGGCTAATTCGGTATTTTTCAAATAAAATGTATAACCTTGTTTAAGATTCTGTCAAAATTCAACTGATTATAATATGGGGTTTTCTTTTTAGAACAAGCTCTATTTTACCGGTAGAAAATATAATAAAAGAAGGAGAAAAAGAAAATGAAGAAGAAGGATATATATTGTTGGAAATAGGACCAATGAAAATTCCTGAGGAGACAACATGTCTGAACACACGTACATACACTTGCAACAACTGTCATAAGCCATTCACTACTAAAAAACAAATTGCCTGTCACTTAAAAAAATGTCCCACCGTGGATGTCCAAACCAGGCCTCGTGTACATTTAAAAAAGTAAGTAGATTTTTTTAGTAAAACCGATGTTTGTTAAATAATGTTTGATTGATTTTTAAAAGGTGTTGAGGGTTGATTACAAATAGAAAATATTATCCTTTTATACTTAGTTTTGTTTTTCGAATGGACGGGATGATTAGGCAATGAGGAATAGTATAAAGACAGCGTGAGGAATGAGTATGAAAGAAAAAATTGAATAAACAAATGGGGCCAACAATTTGTGAGGGCAGAGGAAAGTTGTCTGACCGAAACTCATTTGCAAGATGCAAAAGAATACCTTATTTTTTTTTTTTTTTTTTTTTATAAGTTAACCGATAGTAATAATACTAATTTTTTTTTTAGAATAAGCGAAATTCTACGGGATGAAGAAAAAAATGACATTCTGATGTCAAAGAAACGGGAAGAAAGCGACAAAACGCTGGAAAATATTGCGAATGAAAAACGTCTATTTCTATGCTGTACGTGCGGTGAAGTATATACCAGCCGAGACAAAATCACTGATCACTGATCATTTGTGTATTTATTTATTTTATTTTTTTTTTTTTTTTTCCACCGTTCTCCACCTTCTCGCGGAACGTCGACCGTCGTATCGTCGCGCCGATTCCGCCCAGTAGCGAGACGCCGACCCTACCCAGTGTCGCGTCAGTTGTTTTGGTAACAACCAAAGTGGAAAAACATCTGCATACAGTGATCAATAATTCGCAACTATTCGTTAATTCATGGATATATTCAACTCTACTTCTATGCAATTTGGTGATTTTAAAACTAACACAGAATCTATAGTATTCAGAGAACTAGTGTTACACACTACAAATTACGGATGAATAGCGTTTTTTTTTCATTAATGGAAATTATTTGAAACTTGTAGAAACAATTTAGTTTACACAGAGTAAATATTTTCATATTTTTTACTGTATAATATTAATATAGAAAAATAATAAAAACTAGTTTTATGACATTTTAAAATGAAACCGATTTTTTACAAAATAAACATTGTACAATAGATTAATCTAAAGTAAGTCTGAAATATGATATCTCGTTTTCGCTTTAGACTCTTTATAAACTTGCTTTTTTTGGATTATTGTTAATTTCACTAGTATTGTTATTTGGTTAAAATGTATGTACATCTCAATCAGTTTAACTCTTTCTCCCCATTATTTCAACAACGTTTAATACGGTTAAACTGTCTTATAGTTTATATTTCTATTTTAACGGCCTAGTGTGTGTGAATTAGATTTTTTTTTTTTGGCTAAATTTGTCTTCTGACCTATAGACCACCTAGTGAATAGAACACCATCAAGATATTAAGATATAAAGATATTAGCATGAGTCGATGAATTTAATATTTTATAGTGTATATACATAAATGATTGCATAACATAATATTTTGATAGTAACTAGTAAATTAACATGGATGGTAGTTTTTTGTGTGAATGCAAAATGAAACAAATTTTGACTGGTTTTTGGAAACGTATAAAGCGTATCATATTTCCAAGTTACACGTAAACATTTTTTGGGCCTTTTTATTATTTTGTGGGAACGGGCGAATTTTCTATTTTATCACTCTTATGGTGGATTCTTGGAGACCGAGGGAAATCTCAATCTCCCTCGTATCATATTTTACCTGTCCGGACCAAACTGAACTGTTTTTTTTATTTTTATTTAACAGAAAGAACAACATGGAGAACATTGACGTAGCCGAAACGAGGAATGTTAAAATTGAAGTGGATGTGATAGACGATAATGTTTACTTTGAGAGCCTAATAGAGATAGTAAATCACGAAAATGTGCTGGACGTACAACCGACGGAAAACATTGTGAAGAAAGAACTTACACACAGCTGCCAGAATTGTCAAATGTCATTTGCTACTCCAACAAAATTAAGGATTCATATGACAGAATCTCACATTAACGTTGAACGTACAAATATTGAAGAAAACCGACCGATAGGTAGATCATTTTTTGAGTAAAACTCTTTATTGATATTCACACATCACCGAACATGTCTTAGTCTATTAAGTTATAGCAGTTGTTGGCTAACAGAAGCAAATATTAAACAATAAGATATTACCCTACAGTTGGATGGTTTTCATATTGTGTATGTCTGAAACAGATTAAGGTGTCTACTAGGTTTAAAATTCTTCCCCCCCATTTTAAACTAAACATAAATATTTAATAAGTAATTTTAGATAGTATGACCTTTTTACAAATTTTGTGTTCAAATTTGACAGCAGTAGAATTTATATTCAATTTATTTAATTATATTTAAGACATTGATAAGTATGCATGTTAAGTAGACAGATCAGGTTATCTGTCTTTTAGAGTACTGTAGCAATATCTTGACTAATCGTTATAACTGCAATACATATTAAACAATAGGTATCAACTAAGTTGTATGAAAAACTGTTTTTTTTTTTAAATTATATATGAGGATATAATGGACTGCTAAACATTTTGAAAAGTTAGAAAACACTTTCAAACAAATTATATATACCTGTATACATATATTTATACAGGGTGACATTTTTAAAGTGATCCTCATCCCACTCAATATCTCATAGGGTTTAATATCAGTTATAGAATTTTTATTATGTAGTGTTTTTATACAAAGTTATCTCAACTTTTGACGAATTAGTTATATTTATATCAACTTTTGAATCTTAATTGGTAGCGAAAATATTTTATTGACTTTTTAAATTAAGAATAAAATACTGACAAATTTGGCTGGTCGATAACTAGTTTTGGATACATATTCTTAAAGTTATTTATGTTTCTAGTTTAGGATGAGAGGAAAATGTGGTGAGTAGTAATATTTTTTATCTGCTTGTATTACTTAACCGCACTTCCTCTCCCGCCCTTACTTTTAGACTTTAGGTAATAGGTACTTTAAAAAAAATATCACACTTTGTATGCACGGATTTGAGTTAGGAATATATTAACATAAAACCTAACTACAGTTTATTTAAACAAAATAGGTATGCTTAACGAGCAATAAAATGTTTTCGCTTTCTTTAATTCGTAATACTGCTGGAAAAATATAAATTGTTCTGTTTTTCAAGTAAACTGGAGATTTATTTATGAAATTGTTGTATTGTTTCACCGTTCTACATATATTGTCGATGTAAATTACTTAAAATTAGGCTAATTCGGTATTTTTCAAATAAAATGTATAACCTTGTTTAAGATTCTGTCAAAAATTCAACTGATTATAATATGGGGTTTTCTTTTTAGAACAAGCTCTATTTTACCGGTAGAAAATATAAAAAAGAAGGAGAAAAAGAAAATGAAGAAGAAGGATATATATTGTTGGAAATAGGACCAATGAAAATTCCTGAGGAGACAACATGTCTGAACACACGTACATACACTTGCAACAACTGTCATAAGCCATTCACTACTAAAAAACAAATTGCCTGTCACTTAAAAAAATGTCCCACGTGGATGTCCAAACCAGGCCTCGTGTACATTTAAAAAAGTAAGTAGATTTTTTTAGTAAAACCGATGTTTGTTAAAATAATGTTTGATTGATTTTTAAAAGGTGTTGAGGGTTGATTACAAATAGAAAATATTATCCTTTTATACTTAGTTTTGTTTTTCGAATGGACGGGATGATTAGGCAATGAGGAATAGTATAAAGACAGCGTGAGGAATGAGTATGAAAGAAAAAATTGAATAAACAAATGGGGCCAACAATTTGTGAGGGCAGAGGAAAGTTGTCTGACCGAAACTCATTTGCAAGATGCAAAAGAATACCTTATTTTTTTATTTTTTTTTTTTTTATAAGTTAACCGATAGTAATAATACTAATTTTTTTTTTAGAATAAGCGAAATTCTACGGGATGAAGAAAAAAAGACATTCTGATGTCAAAGAAACGGGAAGAAAGCGACAAAACGCTGGAAAATATTGCGAATGAAAAACGTCTATTTCTATGCTGTACGTGCGGTGAAGTATATACCAGCCGAGACAAAATCACTGATCACTGATCATTTGTGTATTTATTTATTTTATTTTATTTTTTTTTATTTTTCCACCGTTCTCCACCTTCTCGCGGAACGTCGACCGTCGTATCGTCGCGCCGATTCCGCCCAGTAGCGAGACGCCGACCCTACCCAGTGTCGCGTCAGTTGTTTTGGTAACAACCAAAGTGGAAAAACATCTGCATACAGTGATCAATAATTCGCAACTATTCGTTAATTCATGGATATATTCAACTCTACTTCTATGCAATTTGGTGATTTTAAAACTAACACAGAATCTATAGTATTCAGAGAACTAGTGTTACACACTACAAATTACGGATGAATAGCGTTTTTTTTTCATTAATGGAAATTATTTGAAACTTGTAGAAACAATTTAGTTTACACAGAGTAAAATATTTTCATATTTTTTACTGTATAATATTAATATAGAAAAATAATAAAAACTAGTTTTATGACATTTTAAAATGAAACCGATTTTTTACAAAATAAACATTGTACAATAGATTAATCTAAAGTAACTCTAAAAGTCTGAAATATGATATCTCGTTTTCGCTTTAGACTCTTTATAAACTTGCTTTTTTTGGATTATTGTTAATTTCACTAGTATTGTTATTTGGTTAAAATGTATGTACATCTCAATCAGTTTAACTCTTTCTCCCCATTATTTCAACAACGTTTAATACGGTTAAACTGTCTTATAGTTTATATTTCTATTTTAACGGCCTAGTGTGTGTGAATTAGATTTTTTTTTTTGGCTAAATTTGTCTTCTGACCTATAGACCACCTAGTGAATAGAACACCATCAAGATATTAAGATATAAAGATATTAGCATGAGTCGATGAATTTAATATTTTATAGTGTATATACATAAATGATTGCATAACATAATATTTTGATAGTAACTAGTAAATTAACATGGATGGTAGTTTTTTGTGTGAATGCAAATGAAACAAATTTTGACTGGTTTTTGGAAACGTATAAAGCGTATCATATTTCCAAGTTACACGTAAACATTTTTTGGGCCTTTTTATTATTTTGTGGGGGAACGGGCGAATTTTCTATTTTATCACTCTTATGGTGGATTCTTGGAGACCGAGGGAAATCTCAATCTCCCTCGTATCATATTTTACCTGTCGGACCAAACTGAACTGTTTTTTTATTTTTATTTAACAGAAAGAACAACATGGAGAACATTGACGTAGCCGAAACGAGGAATGTTAAAATTGAAGTGGATGTGATAGACGATAATGTTTACTTTGAGAGCCTAATAGAGATAGTAAATCACGAAAATGTGCTGGACGTACAACCGACGGAAAACATTGTGAAGAAAGAACTTACACACAGCTGCCAGAATTGTCAAATGTCATTTGCTACTCCAACAAAATTAAGGATTCATATGACAGAATCTCACATTAACGTTGAACGTACAAATATTGAAGAAAACACCGATAGGTAAGATCATTTTTTGAGTAAACTCTTTATTGATATTCACACATCACCGAACATGTCTTAGTCTATTAAGTTTATAGCAGTTGTTGGCTAACAGAAGCAAATATTAAACAATAAGATATTACCCTACAGTTGGATGGTTTTCATATTGTGTATGTCTGAAACAGATTAAGGTGTCTACTAGGTTTAAAATTCTTCCCCCCCATTTTACTAAACATAAATATTTAATAAGTAATTTTAGATAGTATGACCTTTTTACAAATTTTGTGTTCAAATTTGACAGCAGTAGAATTTATATTCAATTTATTTAATTATATTTAAGACATTGATAAGTATGCATGTTAAGTAGACAGATCAGGTTATCTGTCTTTTAGAGTACTGTAGCAATATCTTGACTAATCGTTATAACTGCAATACATATTAAACAATAGGTATCAACTAAGTTGTATGAAAAACTGTTTTTTTTTTTTTAAATTATATATGAGGATATAATGGACTGCTAAACATTTTGAAAAGTTAGAAAACACTTTCAAACAAATATATATACCCTGTATACATATATTTATACAGGGTGACATTTTTAAGTGATCCTCATCCCACTCAATATCTCATAGGGTTTAATATCAGTTATAGAATTTTTATTATGTAGTGTTTTTATACAAAGTTATCTCAACTTTTGACGAATTAGTTATATTTATATCAACTTTTGAATCTTAATTGGTAGCGAAATATTTTATTGACTTTTTAAATTAAGAATAAAATACTGACAAATTTGGCTGGTCGATAACTAGTTTTGGATACATATTCTTAAAGTTATTTATGTTTCTAGTTTAGGATGAGAGGAAAATGTGGTGAGTAGTAATATTTTTTATCTGCTTGTATTACTTAACCGCACTTCCTCTCCCGCCCTTACTTTTAGACTTTAGGTAATAGGTACTTTAAAAAAAATATCACACTTTGTATGCACGGATTTGAGTTAGGAATATATTAACATAAAACCTAACTACAGTTTATTTAAACAAAATAGGTATGCTTAACGAGCAATAAATGTTTTCGCTTTCTTTAATTCGTAATACTGCTGGAAAAATATAAATTGTTCTGTTTTTCAAGTAAACTGGAGATTTATTTATGAAATTGTTGTATTGTTTCACCGTTCTACATATATTGTCGATGTAAATTACTTAAAATTAGGCTAATTCGGTATTTTTCAAATAAAATGTATAACCTTGTTTAAGATTCTGTCAAAAATTCAACTGATTATAATATGGGGTTTTCTTTTTAGAACAAGCTCTATTTTACCGGTAGAAAATATAATAAAAGAAGGAGAAAAAGAAAATGAAGAAGAAGGATATATATTGTTGGAAATAGGACCAATGAAAATTCCTGAGGACAACATGTCTGAACACACGTACATACACTTGCAACAACTGTCATAAGCCATTCACTACTAAAAAACAAATTGCCTGTCACTTAAAAAAATGTCCCACCGTGGATGTCCAAACCAGGCCTCGTGTACATTTAAAAAAGTAAGTAGATTTTTTTAGTAAACCGATGTTTGTTAAAATAATGTTTGATTGATTTTTAAAGGTGTTGAGGGTTGATTACAAATAGAAAATATTATCCTTTTATACTTAGTTTTGTTTTTCGAATGGACGGGATGATTAGGCAATGAGGAATAGTATAAAGACAGCGTGAGGAATGAGTATGAAAGAAAAAATTGAATAAACAAATGGGGCCAACAATTTGTGAGGGCAGAGGAAAGTTGTCTGACCGAAACTCATTTGCAAGATGCAAAAGAATACCTTTTTTTTATTTTTTTTTTTTTATAAGTTAACCGATAGTAATAATACTAATTTTTTTTTTAGAATAAGCGAAATTCTACGGGATGAAGAAAAAAATGACATTCTGATGTCAAAGAAAAGGGAAGAAAGCGACAAAACGCTGGAAAATATTGCGAATGAAAAACGTCTATTTCTATGCTGTACGTGCGGTGAAGTATATACCAGCCGAGACAAAATCACTGATCACTTGTCAAACAAACACACTCCTAAACGTTATTTAAACAAGAGGAAAAAATGTCGCCGACCAAAGGTAGGGTGGCTACTGACGTTTTTCGGACACGGTAAGAAATACTACAAATGTATGTGGTGCGTTAAATGTTTTAAAAGCGTGTCCAACATCAACCAACACATGAAGATCCACACCGGCGAAAAACCCTATTCTTGTGCCGTGTGCTCGAAGGGGTTTATTCAGCGGTCTTGTCTCAAAGTGCACGGGCGCATGCACACCGGCGTCAAGCCGTTCGTGTGCGACGTTTGTGCTAAACAATTCAATCAGAAAATCGAGCTGAAAGTGCACGAACGCTCGCACATGGGCGAAAAACCTTTCAGGTGCGACGTGTGTTCCAAATGCTTCACCTGCTCGTCGAACCTGATCCGGCATCGGAAAGCGCACACCGGAGAGAAACCCTTCAAGTGCGACGTATGCGCCAAAGGGTTCACGCAGAAGGTCTCTCTGACGGTGCACACGCGAAGTCACACGGGCGAGAGGCCGTACAAGTGCCCGGTGTGCGGCAAGGGTTTCACTTGCTCTTCGAACTGCACCAAACACCACAGACTGCACACCGGAGAAAAGCCGTACGCGTGCGAGTATTGCTCGAGCAGTTTCGCCGAAAAGGCCTCGCTGACCGTACACGTGCGCGGTCACACGAACGAAAGACCGTACGAGTGCGAGGTGTGCAACAAACGTTTCACCGCCGCTTCCAATCTGATGAGCCACCGGAAATTGCACACCGGCGAGCGGGCGTACAAGTGCGCCGACTGCGAGGAATCGTTTGCCCAGAAAATGCACCAGCAGGTGCACTGCCGCATCCACACGAAAGAAAGGCCGTACACGTGCGGCACGTGCGGCACGTGCGGCAAGGGGTTCTCGCATAGGTCCAATTTGAGAGCGCACGAGAAAACCCACAACCCCGAGAAAACGTACGGCTGCGAGGTGTGCAAGAAAATGTTCACGTGTCTGTCCAATCTGATCAGACACCACGCGGTGCACACCGGCCACAGACCATACCAGTGCAAAATCTGCGACAGAAAGTTCGCCCAGAACATGCACCTGACGATGCACATCCGCGTGCACACGGGCGAGAAGCCGCACAAGTGTTCCGTGTGCCAAAAAGCATTTGCCAGCAAGTCCAACTTGACGATGCACGAGCTGGCGCACAGCAAGGAGAAACAATTCTCGTGCAAGTGGTGCAACGCGCGCTTCAGTTTCAGCACCAACATGCTGAGACACCAGAAGATGCACACCGCCGGCCAGAAACCGTACGAATGTGCCATATGACAAAAAGGGTTTGTATACAAGGCTTATCTTAAAACGCACATTAAAACTCACGAACGCGAAACTGCGAAAAATCGAAATTCGCCTGCAGTTTGAGTCGTACAACGGCAAACTTTCAGTCCAAAACCCTATTGCATTTTGTTTATTTTATCTTATTTGTACATTAGATATACATTTAGCTTTTTCCGGTTTTTTTTTTGTTCAATATAAAACGCACCATCAGTACAATGCACAATGTCACGTATAGTAATAACTAAGGGAGGGGAAACCACAATAAATAATTTTAAACAAAGTAGTTGTCACTTGTATTTATGTTTGTAGAGTTAACCAATAATAATTGGTAAATGGTTTTTTAATTACATGTTTTTTTTTTATGTACTACGTTGCTTACAAAATTATATAACCATTGTGTTTTTATAATTTTAAGTTTATCATTTGTATACTGTGAATATACATTTTTTGTAAAAACAACATTATTATTTATTATATTGAGTATGTTTTCGAAAATAATATTTTAAAATAAACTTTCTAATGATTCCCAATAAGCAATAGTGTTTATAATTAAAAATAATGTGTCGTGTACCTTGTAAGTTTACTAAAGGTGTACAGAAAAAAAATTTATTGGGCATAAAAAAAATTATCAGTTTTATACTTTTAAGAGTTGAAAAATGTGTAAATGGGGTTTTTCACGATTTGGATTTTTAAGATGTTGATCTTTACCGATTTTTTGCTTTGTAAATTACCTTTTGGGAACGATATCTAAGTTATAAACTTTGCATCGGTACAATAATGATGAGTCATGGGAAGAGGCAAAAATAATTATTTACTTATTTGTTTTCACGTTATTTAATACCTAGGTAAGGCTACTTTTATCCATGTTACTGATTGGAGTCAATATTGACATTTTAATGCACTTGAGAACATGTGTGAAGCAACAAAAAAGAATACATCTTTACTGTTGTAAATCACTTCTTATTAAGTTTTATTTAATGCTTTTATTTTACCTTTAAAGTTTAAAAAAAATTAATTTCCACTTTAATAAATTGTTCTAATTTACTTTAAACTATTCGAAATTCAGAAAAAAAACCCAATATTAAAAAACATAAATATTGAAATAGTATTTTTTGTATATATGTTAAGAAGAATTTGTCAAATTGGAAATTACAGTTTTTCCTAAAAGGTTGGACGTTTATTATAAAACCTTGAAAAAGTTTTCATAGTTTTACAAATTTACCAATTTAAATTGAATTTAAAATAATATCAATCAGAATTTCTTTAATGCTCATAATTGAAAATGTGTCACTATTTTACTACATTTAAAATTGTATTATTGTAAAATATAATAACTATTGGATGGTTGTGTGACAAGCAATCAAAACCTTTAAAGCCGATTTCAATGCCAGTTTTTTATTCCCATTAGTTTTGGTCTGTGAAAGATTGACTAATTTACGGTATCTTAATTTATTTATAAAATTGTCTTGAATGAAAATATTTAAAAAAAAAATACATCATAAATCACAATGTTGATTGTTAAACCAACAATTAAAGTAAGTATATTTAAAAAGTTAAGGGTATTTTTTTATCACAAAATATTTAGTACTAATACTAGTATTAAATTGCTCTGGCCACACACATTATAATAAAATATGCAATTGTATGAATTGTTTGTATTTCTATAACAAACACATTTTGGAATTTGTAATACTTAAGAACAAAGAATATAAACAAGAAGCTTTAGATTAAAAATTTACAATTTTTAACGTCCAAGTTTATATATAATTTCAAGTAAAACAAATAAGAAAGGTAAAACCGGTTAAAAAACAAATTTATAATTGTTATATGGTATTTTACAATGTATTTTTTTTATATTGGTCTCCGCTTTCTTCGGATGTATACGACATGAGCATTTTAATTTGACTAATATTATTTGTTTTAAATTACATATTGTTATCTTACTATTATATAATAATTGGTATTAGCGTCACACAAATAGCAGAAGGGCCGTTTGTAAAGTCGTTTTATTCGATTTTTAGCTCGAACGTTGAATTATTTGAATTTTGAAAAACTGGAAATGTAACCAAATTATTGTATAGCTGTTAACGATGTGTGGTTTTTCTGCTGCTAAGTAGTCTCATGTTATACAGTTTTCAAATTTCCGTTTAACCATAATAACACATTTAAGTCGTCAAGCCTGAAGTTGTATTTATCATTCACAAAACAAGAGGACGGCCGACAGGGGAGGGCAAAAAAACGTTACCCCAACTGTTCCTTCCGCCTTTTGGACCGTCGCCCGGTACGGACCGGATAGGCACGGCGGTTATAAATACATAAGGACGGATTTTTTGGAGATTCAAATCCAACATGGGGCTAATGAGACATAACGACGGTATCGGCTAAACGGGCGCTTGATTGTAAAAATAATAATAACTAACCACCTGTTGGCGCGTGTCGGCCGTGAGACGGCGGTTTTGCACGATTCCGCAGAATGGAAACATTTAAAATTAAACTTGGATATTGTCCATGTGAATAATATTTCTGCCGTTTGGCATGGTATATGAACGTCGGTCGTTCTAACATCTTATTTCTTTGATAACCGCCGTCTCGGGCGAACAATATTGTGTGCACACACAATCAAACGCTCGCGAACACTGTGTTAGTGGTTTACAATCGGAATTTTGTTTCTTTTTTTCTTGTACTTGTGCTTGTTCTTGATAAATCAATCCTTAATAATTAATCCTTCCCAGCTGCGTGTGTGTGTGTGCGTTCGAATCGACCGGCGTCATGTCTTGGTTCCTGTCGGACGACGACGAAGAGGATGAAAACCTGCTGTTCAGCCCTGCTTTAATGGCTCGCCGGGCCAGTGAGAGTTGGATCGACACACCGCCCTTTGAGGTATTATTTTTGGTTTGTTGCTAAATCGATAACTGCTAGGTACGGTTATACTAGTAGGTCCTGCGATAAAACACCAAAAAAAAAAAAAAAAACGCCTAAAAAACTGAATAGATAAACCATCTGGGTAAAACTATCATTGCCTAAAACTGGAAATAGGACTTTGACAATTTGTCCCACTCTTGCCCTAAGCATGTATGCATTGCATACCTATAATATATTAAATATACTACTAAGGTCGGCCTGCTAATATGTCGCTTAAGTCGGTAAACTTAGTAGGTTTATCGGCCATGCCAAATGAGAACTTAAAAGTCCAGGTTTTTTTGGATGCTTTTCTATTCTTTTGTGTAGTAAATTAATAAACTTTATAATACAAACAACAAAAAAAAAAAACAAAGTAAAAACTGATAAACGTCTCTCTGGCGCCTTAGCTCGGTTTATTTTGTACAAGTTCAACACCTTTTATTTTTGGAACACTAGTATTAAATATTCGTACAATGTTTTAAAAATACATAACATAGACCTTGAATGGATTTTACCACACGCGATTTTCCACTATAAAAAAAAAATAATGATACAGTTATTAACGAGCTCTAGTGCGTTGCTGGTGATTTATCAATAATAATCCCGGTCAACATAGTTCTGTCAATATTGTTTTTTCTGTTTATTCTCACATATCATATACAAGGCGATACATCGCAGATAAGACACTGGTTATCTCTTAAAATAATTGAAATTTGTAACTTTTAAGACTTAAATAGTAACGTATATACTTCATTAAGAATATTTTCCTAACAAATTTGACTGTTCGATATCCAGTTTTGGACAACTACTTTTTAAGTTTAAAATTTAGGACAGACGGGGTGGAGTGTAGTAGAGCAATGCGCACACATAAAACTGATACTAAACACTATCTTTCCTCTCGACCTACAATTTAAACTGTAATGGATTACTAAGTCCAGCCAAGTTTACGTCATGACCGATTTCTCCTTGAATATTAATATGTATACGACCTAAAGGAGTTATTCTATACTTTGTATGTAACCAAATGTAAACAACGTCATAAATTGTAAAATCCAAATTATAAATTGTAAAAGCCAATTTATTTATGCAAATCATATACTTTGTACAACTGAAAGATTATAAAAACGCACAAACAAACACATAAATTGTATAAATTATCTATCCGACAATGTTCAGCACTTAGCAGAAGACAGCTTGGCCATTCTCCAACAACCCGGATTAACGCTTGCACAACTGAGAAAAGGTCACCGAGGCGGGGATCCGAAGGACTCCTTCCACTCGAACCGGATGGGCATTTTGCGTAAATACCAGCCGTTTCACCACAGCAATTTAGATGTGTTCTGGCTGTGTATTGTGTCATACCTGCAACAAACACTCATTTTCGTTATCTGTGTATCAAATTAATGCTTATATTGTAATACATATAATACCTATTTTTGATTGAAAGTATTAACTTTATTTACAAATCTTCCATCTTCCTTCTTCAACCTTTTGTGTGCTAAGTATCCAAAGGCCACAGACTTGCGGGAACTTCACAAAACTTTAATTAATTAAGAAAGAATTATTTAAATCTGGTTATTGACCAGTCAAGATTATCAGCAAATTATTTTTGTTTAAACAATTATTCAATATATCCCATTTAAGTTTTAAGCGCTGATATAGGGCGCTGGAAAATACTAATCAAGGAAAATAATTAGTTATTTCATAATATTGTAAAATAACCTTAACAAAAATGTATTAAAAAAGAAACTACAAAATTGCAAATGTTTGAAAAGTAAATGAGTGTCGTATTTTTGGTTTTGTAGCTTTTAAGCTTATGAAATTCCTTCTCTGCTTTGAAATAAATGTGTGAGCATTAGAGACCATTTTTAAAGTACAGTGTAATATTTTTAAGTGTTATTTTGCCAAATTTGCTGTTTTCTTATGAATAGTTTTAGCTACTTTTGGTTCAACTTGTAACTACTAACAAAACGGCGACAAAATATGTCCAGTCACTATAATTATATTTTCTTCTTTTTAAAACATTATATCTGTACGTTTCGTATAATAATTGTAATCTACATTTCTTATGTATTGATTAGAATATATAC